TCCTCCAGACTCGTGTTCTCAGGCTGATGTTAGTGATGGAGGGTAAAGTAGGTTTGATAATAAGGTCAGTCAGAGCGGTCCTGGACTTTACCTGCTGTCTTTATTTAGTGCAGTGGTTCTGAAGAACTGTCAGAAAGTCCTGATTTTAAGTGAATTCAGATGGAGATCAGAAATATTAGAGTCCAAATCTGACAGATTCTGGTTCTGAGGACCCGGAGTCTGAACCAGAGAAAAAAGAAAAAGAAAAAAAAAAAAAAAAATATATATATATATATATATATATATATATATATATATATATATACAGTTATATATATATATTATATATATATATATATATATACAGTGTATATATATATGTATATATATATATATATATATATATATATACAGTGTATATATATATATGTATATATATATATATACATATATATATATATATGTTTATATATATATATATGAATATCTGGTTCCCTTATGGCCCTTTTTTCTCCTCCCTTTGGACATTAAACAGTTAAAAATCAAAGAAAACGACTTTAATTTGTTTCGTCTGATCTTGATTTATTTCACTGACAGGTTCTTTTTCTTGAGTTTATTATTTCAGTAAAAATAGTGACAGTGATGGTGTTCGTAACTTCAGCGACAGTGTTCTGGGTGAAGAGGTCTACTCTCAGAGCTGCTACACTCTTATTGATCAGGTCAGTCTGAGTCCCAGACCACCTGTCCTCTGTCCTGGTCCTGAAGGATGACTGAACCATTGAAGAGGACATGAAACACTGACTCAACTCATCAGGAATGACTCTGGACTTCACAGATCTCTGTGTTCATGACTCTCAAAATCTAATTTAATTCTACAGACAAAAGTTCAAATTTAGCGACGCTGCGGGGAAACGTAAAGCAGTGCTCTGATTGGTTGTCTAGCCCACGTATTGACCATTGAATAAGAGCAGGTTAGGTCGCCGCCCGGACTTCACACACGGAGAGCATGGCAACCTCCAAAACGTCCCTCGAACTCTGTCCCGTTAGGGTCCGGGACAGAGTTACACACATTAAATCGCCGACGACAACAAACTGATTCCATGGCGGACGGCATGGGAATACAGTAGCGGCACAGGCGCCAGGCCGTGTTTCCTGTCCTCGCCGTGAGCCTGAGGTTCAGCCACTGCCTCCTCCTCCTGGTCTGATCTGGACCTGGACTCTTGCCTGGTCCAGATCAGGATGAGACAGCAGTCAGGGGTCTGCTGTGAAGCTGCAGAGGTGAGGATGAGGATGAAGAAGAGGGGGACGGTCTCAGATCTCCGTCTCTGTAATCAGATCCTGTCAGCAGAAGCTGCAGGTCAGAGGAACAACTGCTGCCAGTTCTTGAGTTGACCTTTGACCCCTGCAGGGAGGCGCATATCAGAGAGGAGGGGTGAGGAGGAGGAGAGAGTCAGGAACGTCTTTTGTGAGGAAGCACCTCCAGTTTAGTGGGCGGATGAACGCAGACACAGAGGTTAGTACAGAGACGTCAGGAGGAGGAGCAGGAGGAGGAGGAGGGAGGAGGTGGGGGTGGGGAGGAGGGAGAGGAGGAGGAAAAGGAGGAGAAGGAGGGAGAGTAGAAGGAGGAAAAAGAGGAGGCGACCTCTGATTTTAAATCTTCTTCACATCATTTAAGAAACTTCAACAAATTCAACAACTATAGAAACTTCAGACACTCTGACTCCGCCCCCTCTCCACAGGGATTTTAGTGTGTGTGTGTGTGTGTGTGTGTGTGTGTGTGATGCTGACTGGCCGTTAATCCCCCTGCGTGCTGCCTTCAGGTACCTGAAACTCTGACCTCTGACCTCCAGCAGGACACGCTCAGGAGGAAGTGACTGTGTGGGTTCAAATGTACACGACCGCCAGCTCCCCGAGGAGCAGGGGGGAGTGTGTGTGTGTGTGTGTGTGTGTGTGTGTGTGTGTGTGTGTGTGTGTGTGAGTGTGTGTGTGTGTGTGTGGGTCTGTTTTTGAAGGTTTGAAGTCCACAGATCTCTACAACAGAGGTTCTGTTCTCTGACTCCCTCTGCTCCTCCTCACCCCTGAACTCCTCACTCCCCCTCCACGACACTTTAAAGCTGCTCCTCTTTACCACAAGAAGATCAAAAAGAGAAACTCCGACTCCCAGAATGCTCTGCTTTGATTTGGTCTGACAGCATACTTAGTTTTTTTATTGACCGATCACTGAAGGAACCAAAGAGAAGGATTTGTTTCAGAGGGGGACCAGGACCAGAACCAGGACCAGAACCAGGACCAGAACCAGGACTGGGTGGTTCTGATAGAAACCCAGATCCTCACTCAGGTCGTTTTCAGTCACAGTTTAATCCGACTGAGATCATTATTCATTTTTCTGCCGACGTGAACGTGTCCTCCTCCCCAACACTAGGGGGCGATATGGGTCTTTTCAGACAACCGTCAACAACAACAGCAGGTCGGTGTCAGACGTCAGAAGTGTCTACAACTACTGCTGGGCATTTTGGAGAAACAAGAAGATGGAGCATCGTACAGCGTTGTTTTTGTCCGACATGATGGACGCGCTACTTTTTCTAAAGAGGAGACCAACGCTACTCCTCTACTCTGGGGGTTTGTTACGGGGTTAAAGGGGGCGTGGCTTCATACTCCGACTACGCTGGTTACATGGTAGAGAAAATCGAATTCTAATCAGATTATCTGGGCGTCTTAATCGGAGTTCTTAAACTCAGATTATAGTCAGACTAAGATGTTTACATGACCTTCAGTTGTCCGGTCTTAATCGGAATAAGGCGATAATTCGGTTTAGTGTCATGGAAACGCACTGAATGACTCCCAATTCTACATGGAAAGGACAACTGGACTTAGTTGAGACGTTCCGCCTTAGGCCTTTCCAAGCGTAGATTCCCACTCCAGAGTCATGTGACTAACCTGTTGGACAACGTTGGTTTAAAATCGTCTGAAAAACATAAAAATCTGTTTTATTTCCAATCATTTTAACCCTTAAATGTCTTTTAAACTTCGTCCCTCAGAGTTCGGAGTTCTAAGATGTTTACGTGACCTTCAGCTGTCCGGTCTTCATCGGAATAAGGCGATAATTCGGTTTTCTTGAGTGTCATGTAAACGGACTGATTTAACCCACTAATGAGGTTCAGACAGGGGAGACCAGATAGAACCAGGATCCAGAACCCCCAGAGACTTCTCTGGACCTGAGTCCATTTAAAGGGGTCTGGGGGGACGAGGAGAACCTCTTGTAGATCCTGGATGCCTCCTCCTCCTCCTCCTCCTCCTCCTCCTCTCTGCAGACACTGAGTGAGTCTGCGGGTTCGAGCAGGTGCTGCAGACTCTTATCTTCTGTGTCAATAAAACCAAGTGAAGGTGATGGATGAGTTACCTGCTTCACCTGCCTCCATCTCACCTGTGTGTGTGTGTGTGTGTGTGTGTGTGTGTGTGTGTGTGTGTGTGTGTGTGTGCAGAGATCAGGATTTAGGATTTTAAAGGGATGAGGAGTTAAGACTCAAAAGCTCCCCATGAGGGTATGTGTGTGAGCTGTTGTTGTGTCACGTGCGCTGTGAGTGTGCACGAGAGGCACACACAGAGGGTCCTTGTGTGCGTGTGTGTGTGTGTGTGTGTGTGTGATCAGTGTGCGTCTCTCTGCAGGTACAGAGGAGCAGCTGAAGAGTTTCTCTCTCCTGATTCGAGGTAAAACAGAAACGTGCACGCTCTCAGAGCTGCAGTGAAATGTTGTTAATGCATGGCTGCACATGCATAAGAGCCCCCCCCCCCCCCACACTCACACACATGCACACTCACACACACTCACACACACTCACAGTCCTCTGTCTGTAAACTCAGATCTGATTTCAGCCTCTCGTCTGCGTCTCTCAGAGCTGTTGGGCTGAAAGGACTTAAAGAAAACAGCGTGAAGCAGTGAAAAAGCCATTAAAAGAATATTTTCCCTGCTCTCCTTTGTGCCTCGCTCCTCGGCCTCGCTGCAGCACCAAACCACACAAACAAATGCAAATGTCTCCCAAAACTTTACACAGGGAGGGGGCAGGACCCCCGCTCGAGAGAGGCTCTGAATGGGCTCTAAAGGAGGGCCTAATTAATCTAAGTACAGCACCAATAGGCCCACTTGGAATTTTTTTCACCCCTTTATCTGAATGGGAGGGCCGAGGAGGGGGAGGAGGGGGAGGAGGGGGAGGAAGGGGAGGCAGGGGAGGCGGCGGGGGGGGTTAGAGAGAAAAATAAAGAATAAGCAAAAGAAAGGAAAAGAAAGAAAAGAGAGGGGATCAGGCCTCCACCTTTTCTATCCGGGGACCCGCCTCATTCAGACCCTCCATGTTTAACAGCACCACCCCCCCCCCCTCCAAGAATCAATCACTCTGATTTTACAACCCCCCCCTCCTCCCTCCTCCTCCTCAGACGGAGGTTTTAGTTTCTCCTCTGCAGAAAGTTCAGAGCTTCAGATTTGGACGTGTTTGACTCCGCTGTCAGGAACCGAAATAAGAGGAGGAAATAAAGTGTGTGTTCATGTGTGTTCATGTGTGTGTATCCGTGTGTGTGTCGTCAGGTGCAGGCTGGCTGCAGCAGAACAATGGCAGCAGAAGGCTGCAGCTGAAAGCTCGGGGTAAATCAGTAATGGAGCTAAAGGGCAGACGCCTGTGGGGAATTTGCAGCTTCTAAAGGAGCTTTAAGAGGCGCTTCATTCATACGGCCCAAAGAGATCTGAATTGCCCCCTTCACAATCACTTGAAAGGATGAGCTCAGGGTGTTCCGAAACAAAGTGGAAATCACTCTGCCTTTCAGCGCTTCTAATAAGCTTTTAACTATTTTACATCACGGCGCTCCCCTCGGCCTCGCCCTCCTCGCCGTCTTTGTGAGCGGCGGCCGTGCGCGCGGACGAAAATGTCTGATTTATACTTTTCTTCATGGTGGATTTCAGCGCAGAAATTCATCTGAAAGCTTCATTATCACACCGCGGAGAAGGAGCTCATTATTCAGTCTGCGGCCAGGAGGAGGAGGAGGAGGAGCAGGAGGCCAGAGATGGGGAAGAAGAGGTTTAGGAAGTCTGAGGAAACTTGGAGGAGGTGCAGTTACATTTATTAGGTCAGAGGAGGAGGTGCTCTTAGGCCGACAGGGAGAACCAAGAGGAGGCCAAGGAGCAGAGAAGGGTCCAAGCAAGAAGTACGGAGGCTTAAGGAGGCGCAGGAGCAGTGATGAGGAGTCAGAAAGAGGTCGAGGACACTGTGAGGAGGCATGTGGAGGTCAGGGAGCAGAGAGAGGGGGAGCTACACAAGGAGCTGAGGGAAGAGAGGGAGTCATGAGGAGACCGAGGGAGGAGGTGAGAGGAGGAGAGAGAGGTGAGAGGAGGAGCAGGAGGCCAGAGATGGGGAAGAAGAGGTTTAGGAAGTCTGAGGAAACTTGGAGGAGGTGCAGTTACATTTATAAGGTCAGAGGAGGAGGTGCCCTTAGGCAGACAGGGAGAACCAAGAGGTGGAAGGAGGAGGAGGAAAGAGGCTGAAGGAGGTGCAGGAGAAGTGCAGGGAGCACACAAGGAGCCTCATGGATGAGCAGGAGGAGGTGCTGGATATATTTGGAGGTTTAAGGAAACTTGTAAAGGAAGAGGAGTGAGGAGACGCAGGGGTGTGTGTGTGTGTAAGAGTTCACCCAGCAGGAGGAGTGAGGAGGTGCAGTCTGAGGTTCTGGAGCATCGTGGCGGGAGACTTTAGGAGGAGAAGCTGCTGGAGGAGTTAGGAAAAGGCCGGAGGAACTTCATGGAGACGCAGGAGCAGAAGAAGGATGGAGGAGAGCCAAGAGGAGGTCAGGGAGCAGAGAAGGGTCCAAGCAAGAAGTACGGAGGCTTAAGGAGGCGCAGGAGCAGTGATGAGGAGTCAGAAAGAGGTCGAGGACACTTTGAGGAGGCATGTGGAGGTCAGGGAGCAGAGAGAGGGGGAGCTACACAAGGAGCTGAGGGAAGAGAGGGAGTCATGAGGAGACCGAGGGAGGAGGAGAGAGGAGGAGAGAAGAGGTGAGAGGAAGTGAGAGGAGGTGAGAGGAGGAGAGAGGAGGTGAGAGGAGGAGAGAGGAGGTGAGAGGAGGAGAGAGGAGGAGAGAGGAAGTGAGAGGAGGTGAGAGGAGGAGAGAGGAGGTGAGAGGAGGAGAGAGGAAGTGAGAGGAGGAGAGAGGAGGAGAGAGGAGGTGAGAGGAGGTGAGAGGAGGAGAGAGGAAGTGAGAGGAGGAGAGAGGAGGAGAGAGGAGGAAAGAGGAAGTGAGAGGAGGTGAGAGGAGGTGAGAGGAAGTGAGAGGAGGTGAGAGGAGGAGAGAGGAAGTGAGAGGAGGAGAGAGGAGGAGAGAGGAAGTGAGAGGAGGAGAGAGGAGGAGAGAGGAAGTGAGAGGAGGAGAGAGGAGGTGAGAGGAGGTGAGAGGAGGAGAGAGGAAGTGAGAGGAGGAGAGAGGAGGAGAGAGGAGGAAAGAGGAAGTGAGAGGAGGAGAGAGGAGGAGAGAGGAGGTGAGAGGAGGAGAGAGGAAGTGAGAGGAGGAGAGAGGAGGAGAGAGGAGGTGAGAGGAGGTGAGAGGAGGAGAGAGGAAGTGAGAGGAGGAGAGAGGAGGAGAGAGGAGGAAAGAGGAAGTGAGAGGAGGTGAGAGGAGGTGAGAGGAAGTGAGAGGAGGTGAGAGGAGGAGAGAGGAAGTGAGAGGAAGTGAGAGGAGGAGAGAGGAGGAGAGAGGAGGAGAGAGGAAGTGAGAGGAGGAGAGAGGAAGTGAGAGGAGGAGAGAGGAGGTGAGAGGAGGAGAGAGGAAGTGAGAGGAGGTGAGAGGAGGAGAGAGGAAGTGAGAGGAGGAGAGAGGAGGAGAGAGGAGGAAAGAGGAAGTGAGAGGAGGTGAGAGGAGGTGAGAGGAAGTGAGAGGAGGTGAGAGGAGGAGAGAGGAAGTGAGAGGAAGTGAGAGGAGGAGAGAGGAGGAGAGAGGAGGAGAGAGGAAGTGAGAGGAGGAGAGAGGAAGTGAGAGGAGGAGAGAGGAGGAGAGAGGAGGAGAGAGGAGGAGAGAGGAGTCCACTGGGAGCTGCTCAGTTCTGAGGAGGTGCAGAGGAGAATCAGTTCATCATAGAAACTGAACTCCCCCCCCCCCCCTGTTATAAATCAGAGCCACATTGTGTGGGCGTCGGCCTCTGTTGCCCTGGAAACCGTTTATTGCTCTGGAAATTGCTCCAGTCTTTTGGAGCGTTGGAGGTCAGAGGTTCAACCGGGACACGACGGGCTGAACCCTCAGACCCCCTCCTCAGTGGGGGGGTCCCAGTCGGAGCCCCTCGCCCTCTGGATGACTCTGCAGAGATGTGTGGACATTCAGGATTTCATGCTAATAATGGAAGACAAGGGGGGGGTGACCTCCTTAGTCCTGATTAAGACTCAGAACTGCTGACCCCCCCCCCCAAACAAGGGTCTGTGTTTTTACAGGCTGTAAAGAAGAAGAGGGTTCAGAGAGTCACAGACCAACAGAGAAGATGGACACCCCCCCCAGAGTCCTGCTGAGGACAGACCCCACCAGGCTGGACTCTGGACTCTGGACTCTGGACTCTGGACTCTGGCTGTGCACCAATTCCTACCGTATCCGTTTGTGAGGCGAATGTCATGGCGAGAACTCACAAGAACCCGCAGATTCACGATCAATCACTCGATAACGAGTTGTCTCTCTAAAGACAGACACATAGACATATAAGCAGTAGATTGTGTCCTTCCAGAGGAGGAAATCTACTTCTAGACTTCTAGAATCAGGATAACGAGTCGTCTCTGTAACGACAGTCTGAATGATCTTGACTCTGTTTTTAAATCCATTCTCAAAGTACAACTGCAGGAACGGTACGGCCGGAAACCAACACTGAACGCCCGTGACCTTCGACCCCTCAGGCGGCGCTGTATCAAAAACCGACATCAGTGTGTAAAGGATATCAGCACATGGACTCAGGAACACTTCAGAAAACCACTGTCAGTAAATTCAGTTCGTCTCTACATCTGTAAGTTAAAACTCTAAAGACATTTATCAACAACATCCAGAAACGCCGCCGGCTTCTCTGGACCCGAGCTCATCTGAGATGGACTGATGCAAAGTGGAAAAGTGTTCTGTGGTCTGACGAGTCAAAGAACCATCCGGACTGTTGGGGGTGCATTAGTGCCCGAGGCATGGGTAACTTACACATCTGTGAAGGCAACATTCATGCTGAAGGTACAAACAGGTTTTAGAGCAACATCTGCTGCCATCCAAGACACGTCTTTGTCATGGACGCCCTTCCTGCTTATTTCAGCGAGACAACGCCACGCCACATTCTGCACGTGTTACAACAGCGTGGCTTCGTAGTCAAAGAGTGCAGGTACTCGACTGACCTGCCTGCAGTCCAGACCTGTCTCCCACTGAAAATGTGTGGAGGATTATGAAGAGTAAAACACGACAACGGAGACCCCGGACTGTTGAAGAACTGAAGCTGAACATGAAGAACGGGAAAGAATTCCACCTTCAGCTCCAACAGTTCGTCTCCTCAGTTCACAAACGTTTACTGAGTTTGTTAAAAGGTGATGGAACACAGAGGTAAACATGAACCTGTCCAACTACTGTGGAGCGTGTTGAAATTCTGAGTTCATTAATATTTACAAAGACAAATAAAGTTTATGAGTTTGAACATTAAAGATCTTTGTGGTGAATTTAATTAAATTTAGATTTAAAAGGATTTACAAATCATTGTATTCTGTTTTTATTTACGTTTATCACCAACTTCATTAAAATTGGGTTTTAAAGTTCAGCAGGTAAAATAACCTGAAATTTAAAAATCTGTCTCTTCTTGATTTCTGTGAAAATTTCAGGACCCCCCCCCCTCTGTTTCTGACATGAATAAACCAATTAGTGTGTACCAAAGGTCTGCTCAGGGTGAACAGGATGGAACTCTACTCTGCCCTCAGGGTGAGGACGGGGTGAGTGGAGGGGAGGGGTGGGAGGTGGGGGGGGGTTACAGGTGCAGTCAGGGAGGTGGAGGTGGAGGTGGGGGGGTCAGAGGTTATCTTGTAGAGCAGAGAGAGCAGAGGGCAGAGACTCCATCTGTTTACCTGAGGAACAGCAGCTCACAGGCTCAGTTTCCTGATCTGTATCTGTGCACGCACACATGCACGCACACACACACACACACACACACACACACACACACACACGCACACACACCTGTCTGAACAAAACTCCGGACTCACAAACCTGCAGTGTGTGGTTTTTAGAGTCCTTCTCGTTGTGTGTGGGGTTGGGATTAAACCAGGATTAAATCTTAATCTGAAAAACTCAGATTATGAGTCTGATATCTGAAACTGGTCCAGAGGTGAAGTTCAACGACCGCGTTAGTCGAAGAGACACCAGGGCTGTCACTCAAAGAGGCCACGCCCCTCAGTGCGCTCAGCTTTAATTCTTAATCTGACGTTAAAAAGGTGAGATCTCGATAAACTCAGTCTGGATTTGGACTGGGAGCTGAGAACAAGCCGGTTAGAGAGTCCAGGATTCCCAAGAAGGCGGTCAGATTCTGATCCCTCAGACCACCTTAAACGGACTCAGGTCCAGAGAAGTCTCTGATGGTTCTGGATCCTGGTTCTATCTGGACTCCTCTTTCATGGTTCAGTCTGAACCTCCTCAGTAGACGCAGTGATGATCTGTAGTGTTGTGTTGTTCATGAACGATTCGTTCAAAAGAACAGAGTCTTTTAACTCAACTCGACTTTATCTGTGAATCACTTTAAAACAACCGCAGCTGAACAAAGTGCTGAACATAAACAGACAAAACAACACAGACGTAAAAAAAACTACTAAAAAAAAAGGATAAAAAAAAAACAGATATTAAAAAATAAAATATAGTTTCAATGTTTTTAAAACTAATTTAGAAACAGAGAAACTAAAAACTGAAAACAAACATAAAACACTGAAATGGGAGCGAGTCTCATGAAGAAAGACGGGTTTGAAGACGAGTTTGACAAATGGACAGTGTGTGTGTGTGTGTGTGTGTGTGGGGGGGGGGGGTTCAGTGAACCTACTGAACCGAATCACTTCTACAAGTGATTCGTTCGGTTGCCAGTCAAACAGCATTGCCCGGCCAGCAGCCGGCGAACGAGGGACCACAAACACCGACTCCTGAATCACTCGCATTGAACTTCACTCTCTGGAATCACTTTTATCGGACAAATCGACCTTTTTTTTATTCACTGCTAAATCGCCACCAAAACAACTTTCTTACAACAGGACTCAGCAGGTAACAGGTAGAGCATTAGACCTGCAGCATCCTGTCAGTGCAGCGGTTTGTGAGGGAACGGTTCATGTTCAGGGTGAATTCTTCTAAACGTTCAGTGAACGAATCACTCACTGAGTCCAGACCTGATAAATCCCACAGGACACTGAAAACATCATGACTGATAAACACCTTCATTTCTATAAACCTGTTGAAGTAACTCAGACAAACTCTCTCTGTCTGAATCCTGAACCGTTCAGCTGTGTTTCAGTTCAGGGGGGCGGAGTCTCAGGCTTCTACTGATAAATGAGTCGGTGATTTGGTGAACGAATCTTTTGAACGAATCTATTTAGAACTGCCGTGTCCATCTCTAATGATCTGAGTTCACAGTCGGAGGTTTCTGAAGTGGTTCTGAGTCCCACTCCAGAGTCCTGTCTGTTTTTATGCCCTGAAGATCAGGACCATCCAGACCTGGTCCCCCTTTAGTCCAGAGGTTTCTCCAGATCTTCAGAATCTTTAAAGATCTGATGTTCTGTAGAACTTTATTCTGAAACTGTTGGACTGTTCGCTCACACGGTCTCAGAACTTCGGACCTGTTCGGTTGTTCCTCCATCAGAACTCTTTAGATGAGTCGACACATTTTTAGTCTCATCATTAGATTTTTTAGTATCTTTAATCGGTTTTAATCGTCTTTAACGGAGTCGCTGCTCTTAGAAAAACGAGGTTCTGTTTTTTGTTTTTTGTCCTTTTTTTATTTCATTTGTTTTTATCTTTAAATACTCAGAATATTTGCTCAGACTGAAACTTCCCTGATTTATTTCTGGTGTGTGTGTGTGTGTGTGTGTGTGTGTGTGTGTGTGTGTGTGTGTGTGTGTGTGTGTGTGTGTGTGTGTTCACGCTGCTTGGCTGCTCTCTTGATTGACACTTTCCTGTGACTCTGTTCTGCCTCTATGGACTCTTAAAGAGAAACTAACAGCCCCCAACCCCCAACATGCCCTGCAGCGGTGTAGCTGTGTGTGTGTGAGTGTGTGTGTGCGCATGTGTGAGTGTGTGTGTGTCAGAGGTGACAGAGCGTGTAAAGCCTCCTCCTCTCAGCTGCACTCTGTGGTCATTAGAGCTCTCTTCAGTCTGCTGTAAGAGTCCTTAATCGTCCACTTCTACCTGTCGACCTGCTCACCTCACACACACACACACACACACACACACACACACACACACACACACACACACACACTGCTGCAGAGAGATGGAAACTCTCCTCCGTCAGTCCTCAGATGGAGCTGTGAAGCGGTCGTTCTGGGCCGTCCTGATTATTGTGTCCATCAAATATCACCATGAGAAAATTATCTCTATCAAACTGTGGGGCGGCGAGACGAGTGGAGCGAGACACGACTTCATTAACGTCACTATGAACACATGAACAAACGACCATCATCCATAATAATGATGATGATCAATATTATGATTGATCCACATCAGCAGAGCGGACACTCCTGTGGAGGAGACGTCAGCTCATCAAACTCGTCTTTGTCACTTTAGAAAAATGTTTATTTAGTTTAGGTTCTGAGCTTTTATTTTGAAGTTTTAGCTACTTCCTGTAGATCATGAGTTACTGAACTGAATATAAAGTATAAAAGTTAAATCAAACAGACGCTCCTGCTCGCTCGTATCGTTCCAGTTAAATTCAGATATAATGCAGATAAATCCTTCAGATCATTACAAATGGGGCCCAGTCAAGGTGAAAGTCAAAAGCATTGGTGCTACTGTAGATGCCAACAGACTACCAGCAAACACAATGTTTGCAGGACTTCTACAACGAGGATAAAGTGACATAGTCCAGGACCCGAGGGAGGACAGTTTAGCGATGGCGCTACAACACGCTACAGCAGGTCCGTTTGACAAGAAACACTTCTGTTACAGACACTTGTCTTACTTTGTTAAAGCGGTTTACCTGTCCAGCAGAAAGGTTACAGGGTCACCAAGATCCCCAAGCGTCCCCCATCGTTTATGTTGACCCGGCTTTTTAGCTCTTGTCCGGTCTACCTCCGTTTTAAGCGCCCGTTATTCCTCCAGAGTCTCCGGTATTTACTTTGTTTTCTTGCTTGTGTCGGCAGTCGTGGCCAAAGGAGGATTCAGACAATTTTCCGAACTTTCTGGTTGGTTTCTACTGTCCGATATTGTAGCACGCTAACTTTGTTTGGGCTCCTGAACGACACGGGGGAGCAGCGTCTGCCTCACAACCAATCAGGTTAGAGGAGGTGGAGAACGGCTTTGTTTACAGTCAGAAAGAGCGGACCGCTCAAAAATGTTCAAATGTTGACGACACAGACAGAAGAGAACACAGAGATATCGATATATTACCAAATAATCAATAACTAATAACTATTGACTGATATTCAAAGATTTTTTATATAAACCACAAAATAAAAAGATGCTTCTTTCACAGGTTCCTGTCTACTCCACCTTTAAGTCGGTTTTCTTCTCGTGGACCAGACCACAAGATCTGATCCTGATCCATCAGTCTGTATAAAACCATAATCGGCTCATAAACCTGAACTCTGGTTCGTCTCTCACATGCTGTCCTCCATCATGAACTCGTGACTCCATGAACTTGGACTGTGAACTTACTGTCGTTATCTCCTCTGGTGTTTACAGCCAGCTGTGGGCGTGTCTACGAACGTCTGCACCACACAGATGAAGCAGCGCCGCTTTTATCGGAATAATAAATCTAAAAGTCGGAATCATAACGAACTTTTTATTGGACTCACAAATCAGGACACAGCTCAGAGTTTCCTGATCCTGGACCAGGACCCTGGAGTTCTGAGTTGATGTGGACTTAAAACTTTACAAAATGTGAAACAACTTTAAACACGTTTAAAATCCAGATTACCTCTAAAGAGTCAGGGATTAACGGGATTAAAGTGGTTTTTACATGAAGTTTGTCTTTAAATCCAAATCTCTCTCTGTCTGTATCTCTAAGTTTGGACTGACAGAAGTGAGAGACGTGAGTTTGACCACAGAAATAAGTCTCATTTCTCTTTTATGGTCAAAAATAAACTCTGACGGAGCGGTAACATGACATCCAGCAGAAACAGACACAATAAAGACAAACAGACGAGGTGATTTCAGTGACTCAGTTTGAGGATTTTTATGATTTTTTTACCCACAATCAGAGACTTGACCACAATCTGAGCTGAGTCAGAAACATCCAAACAGTCGGACTAATAAATGTGATTATTATTATTAGAGTGATTGAAAAGCTCATAACAACATGTAGATCTGTCCAAAGTCTGATTCTAGATGTCTTTACAAACACACTGATCCAACAGAAGCAGACAGAAATATCCATCGATCACATGAACACAAATATTCAGCAAACAGAGAAAGAAACAGATCATCTGAAGAGTTTTTGGGGACGACTGGAAAGACTTTAGACGCTTGGATTTGGGACAGGAAATAAGGTCGTCCTTTTTCATCTTTCTGTTATTTTGATGTCACTTTTTTCTAAATCAATCAATCAATGAATCAGTCTTATTTTATATAGCGCTTTTCATACATAACATACAGCACAAAGTGCTTTACACAGAAAAAGGAATAAAAGAAACAAAGAATACCCAAATCAACCAAAACTCAAGATTAAAAAATACACAAATCTACCCCAACTCACTGATGTTGTTGATATCAAACTTGATGAAGATTTTTCAACATGAGAAATACAAACAATCAAAGTTCTCCACAATCACTTTCCTTAAAGCTGCGACCAAATCAGCATCTTTAGAAAAGAATCAAAAAGCTGAAATGAAGAACTAAACCCAGAGTTTTTGGTGAGACTGATCCACAAACATTTACAAACCAGAACATTTCAAGAGTTCAAGGATCTCAGTCCATGATTTTGGTCTGATGGACTCAAAATTCTCTTTAGTTCACTTCTATAAACTCAGCAGAGTCTCCATCAGACCAGAATAACCCCAGTCCAGCATGTAGAGGTTCAGTGAATGTGGTCTGGACTCTGTGGAGGAGAGTCATGGTTTCAGAGACGCTGTAGAAGGACAGAATACCTGCTCTGTGATCCAGGTACACTCCTACTCTGGAGGACGGAGGACCTGAGACATCAGTGAAGACGTTGTTGTGACCAAATCTATACCTGTCTTTATAACAGAATAAACTCCAAGATTTGTCATTTCCTCCAAATAAACAATCCCCTGATCCTCCGTCTCTCCTGATAGTCTTGTATGCGACTGCTACAAAAACCCAGTTCCCTCTCCAGTCCACCTCCCAGTAACAACGTCCAGTCAGACTCTCTCTACTCAGGACCTGAGGATAATAAGTGAATCTGTCTGGATGTTCAGGATAAGACTGTTCTTCTTCTGTCTTTGTTGCTCTTCTGTTTCCATCAGATAATAACAGATTTCTGTCTGCTGTGTTTGGATCCAGTGTGATTCTTTGTGAATATCTTAAGAAACCAGCTCTGGTCTTGGGTTCTGCTGGTCCTGGTGGTTCTAACAGTAAAACATCCACATCAGTCACTGCCTGTGAGACGTTTGTCCACGTCTCTGTCAGAAGATCCTGGAGTTTCTCTCTGAGCTCTGACACAGCAGCTGTCACCTCCTCAAAGTATCTCAGAGGACGGATGTTGATCCTGGATGAGTCTGCAGGTTGACCCGGTTCTGACAGTGAGGGGTAGCTGTGCAGAAACTGGTTGTGGTCCTCTGTGAGTGAGAGCTTCTGCAGATCAGCGTCTTTCCTCTTCAGCTCAGTGATCTCCTGCTCCAGTTTCTCCTGAAGGTCTTTGACTCGACTCACTTCACGTTCCTGCTGGGATCTGACCTGCTGCTCCACCTCAGAGCGGCGTTTCTCCATCAGACGGATCAGCTGGCTGAAGATCTTCTGGCTGTGCTCCACAGCTTTATCAGCAGAGCCGTTGATAGCCTCCACCTCCTGTTGGAGCAGCTTCACATCTTCTTCTCTGTCCTGGATTCTCTGCTGGATGTTTTCTCGACTCTCCTCCAGATCTTTCTGCCTCTCAGTCCTTTCTGCTGCAGCTGAGACTGTGTCGTGACCTTTGTGTTGGTCCAAACAGCAGAGAGAACAGATGGACTTCTGATCAGTGCGGCAGAAGATCTTCATCACCTCATCATGACGAGAGCAGATGTTCTCCTGGAGCTTCTTGGAGGGCTCCACCAGCTTGTGTTTCTTTAATGGAGTAACTTCAAAATGAGGCTGGAGGTGAACCAGGCAGTAAGAAGCCAGACATCGCAGACAGGACATGACAGCTTTCAGTTTTCTCCCACTGCAGACGTCACAGGCCACATCTTCAGGTCCAGCCTCAGAGGAACCATCAGGAGCAGCTTGGAGTCCGCTCTTCTTCACTTCCTCCACTAAACCTGCTAACATGGTGTTTTTCATCAGGACAGGCCTCGGTGTGAAGGTCCGTCTACAATGAGGACAGCTGTAGATCATCTTCTGATCCTCAGTATCCCAGTGGGATTGAATACAGCTCATGCAGAAGCTGTGTCCACAGGAAAGAGTCACCGGATCCTTCAGAAGATCCAAACAGATGGAACAAGAGAGAGACTCACGGTCCAGATGAACTCCTTTCTGCGCCATTTCAACACTCGCTGTCGACGACGACTGACTGAGTTTTATTTCCCGGTCTGAGCTCTGATATAAAGTCAGCTCAGTTTATCTTGGTTACACCCATCTTCAGACTTTGGACTTTGGACCTGATCAGATCTGGGAGAGGTTATCAAGATTTTCATAATCCAGGAAGAGGAGCGTCTCTGTGAACTTTAGACTCTCAAACTCCAACAAGCAGAAGTTCTTAAGTGGAAATGCTGATTAATCATTTCCACTCATTGTTATTCTCTCGTTTCTTTATTGAGTGGGATTGTGAAGCATTCCCACTATATGTCATTCATATCTTTATTATTCAACACAATTCTGCCGTTTTTTGTGCCTCAACTACTTCCACATATTTCAACGTATTCAAATCATTCAAACTTCAAGATTCCGGCTTGTATTCAAAATTTTCCCAACATTCATAATTTCCGAGATATTCCAGGTTTTCCGACCGATTTCTCCCATTAGAAATGCATTACGGATGTTCAAAACGGCTTCTTTTCTCCCTGTTTTTCTCACAACTTCAAAAGCCTCCAACTTTGCCATACTTCAACGTAGAGACTTCATTCAAACTTTAAAACATTCACACACATTCAGACATTCACTCATCCATTCACCATCTTCATGTCATTCATACTTTTCTCACAGTGACAGTTCAAACAGTCACAGGATTTTCTGACCTCCTCAGGTTTTAACATTAGTGTGTATTGCACGGAATGTTGGCAGCTAGAGTGGGTGACCTCACAGCTAGAGTGAGAGGGGCTGAAAATTGATCCTCAAAACTTTGTCTTTACAAAAGGATTGTGGCAACTCACTTCGCTCTACACAGATAAAAATTGGTACAGTGATGGCAAAACTTGCTGTCACTCTTCATCTCAAAAATCAAAGCCATAGGACACACACAGTGGCCTGGGCAGACACCAACTGCCACAGACATCCCCCAAATTTCTCCATCTTTCTCCATTGACTCCAATAGAAACCTGAGAGGAGGATTTTCAGAGGAAACACAAACTGGACATGTTTTTAACTTGTCCTAGTGAAGTCATTTTTGGCTCCACAAACACAGAAATCATATCAACGTGTTCAGCAGAGTCTTGTGGTTCTCACAATCTCATTATCATTAAGATAGCAGTTACAGAAGATGAGCATTAGGGCGTAGTTTGAGCATTGCTTTTTCAGCTTCCAGCCTCCTTTCTCCTGCTGTCGTGATGCATCTACCTTCACCATGGCAACCAATTACAGCACCTGGAGACACACAGCTTACAGAAAGCTGCTTCTAACAGCTGTATGAGACACATGAAGCCAGGCTCAGCACACAAAGTACTGGGAATTACATTTAAAACCCTTCACTAGAGTTATTTAACAAAGCAATTTCAACCAGAGCAATCCCACTCCCAATTTCTTCAGAAACTGCATTTTCTAGTTTCAACTTATGATTATTCTTCTGTACCTTTTTTGTCCGCTTTCAACTCTTTCCCACTTTGTGCGATTTCAACCGTTCATACTTTAAGCTATTCCTCTCCTTCAGGACACGTTTGCTTGTCTTTTTTACCTTTCTACCCTTTATACTTCTTTTTTTTTTTTTTTAACTTTTTATGCCAAAATTTTAACATTTAAGTCAACAGGGAAATCCTCCAGTTCTTCCTTTTATTCTTCCACCTTCTAGTCCTTATAATTTCAGCATACTTTCACCTAGAGACTTAATTTTTGCTTTAAAATGTTCATTAACTTATCGACTATGAATGTTGAATTCCCTTTTTGATATCTATTACAGTTTTTCTACAATTTAGCTTTAAGCACCTCATGGTTTTCAGCAAATTCTCAGGCTTTATAATGGGGGTGTATTGGAGAGGCTAGAGTGGGGGGCTCCTCCTTTATCGACAAAACCTCGCTCGGATATATCGCTTCCACGCCCACAAATTTCACTCCACAGCCATAAAAAATACATCAAAATGGAGGTATATGTGTCCTGCTTCTCACAAAAGAGGTTTTAAATCATTAAATCGTACCCCTTGGCCAGCAGGTGACCAACTGTCCAAAAATGGCAAAGATTCCTCCCATTGACCGTCATGTAATCTTTCTCCCAGAAAATCCTAAACACCACTCAGGGTCAAATCTTTTTTAACTCGCTGTTGTGGCCACATTTTTTAGAGTACAGACATGAAAAACACATCATTGTTTTCTTTAAGATGTCAGAATTCCTACGATGTTCTTATTTTCATTCTGGGATTTAAGGAAATCATGGTATGTGAAGAGGTTCAGAGGCCCTAAATTCACTACAGTTAATAATAATAATAATAATAATGATAATAATAATAATAATAATAATAATAATAATAACAATGATAATAATAATAATAATAATAATGATGCATCAGATTTTTATTAGCCTGGCCGGGCCATCCTGTTGCGTGAATCACTTCTTGTTCCTTCCCACAACAGTCTGGACTTCGGCCCATTGGGAGCGTGTATTAGCGATCAGAAAATAACCAGGCCAATCAGTGACTGTGTTTACACTGTTCCCCGAACAACAGGGAAAGGCAGCCCCTGATTGGTCCATGTGTAGATGGAGACGTCTAACACATGCTGCGGGACTTTTCAAAGCGCCGTTCATTCAGAACGCCGTTAATTCTGCAGTTGACTTTGCAAAGTCGGCAGAAATCATTTATATCTGCAGAAGACGTTGGATATACATCATTCATTCATTCATTCGCTCACACAGTCACACCCGGGTGGTGATAAACTAATTCTCATTTAAACTGATTCAAACCTTTCTGATACTTCAAAACTTTCTAATACTTGAGGACTTTTAATTATTTAAAATTTCCCTGTTTTAAAATAGTTTAATATTCAAGCAAAATTCCATCCTTCAAACAAAATCCCACTTCTAGTACGACAACTACTGCTAATGTCAATTAAACTAGTACTTTCCCCTCTACTTCAACTGCTATTGCTACTATTTCTACTTTCTCTACTACTTTGTCTTATACTTCTTTTATTCTCAAACTACTTCTACTGCTTACATGACTGCTAATATCACTACTATGACTACTTATCATACTTCCTCTAGTACTACAACTTAAACTTATGCCACTTCTCACCTTCCTGCCTTTTAAGGAAATTTCCTTCTTCAGTCAAACTTTGTGCAATTTTAGACATTTTTCTAGCCTCTTTCAGCATGAATAAAATTTCCTTTTATGGAGCATATTCATACTATTTGTCCTTCAACCATTTTCACCATTATCCAACTATTTCTTTTTCACCCCTTCAACAGCTTTAACATTTATACCTTTCTCCATGTTTTATTAGCAGTTTAGCATTGCTTTTTCAGCTTTCAGCACTCAGCATTTCCAAACATTTTCTGCAAGGAAATGCAATTTTTCTAGTTTTGATTTGTTGTCTCTTCTCTGTTTTCCAAACTTTCTCTCTGCCCCCCCACCTCCACACACACACACACACACACACACACACACACACACACACACACACACTCGTCCTTTGGAGAGGGTGAAGGTCTGAATGGAGGAAGTGAAGGGGAACCAAGTGGAAGTGACGTCCTGTCCTCCTCCTCCTCCTCCTCCTCCTCCTCTCCATACTGTTGTCACACAAACAAAAGTCTTCTTCACGTGGTCGATGGAGCGTCCTCACAAACATGGCCGCTCTCTGTGACGCACATCTTCTTCCTGAGACGACAAAGAAGCCGAGAGTCGGAGAATCAGCCAACTTCAGCACCAACAGGTTTTCTGTTTGTTTTAACAGGAAAATTATATTAAACATTATCTTCATTTTTATTGGTTCAGATGTTTGACCAATAGGAGCTGTCCAGGATGGATGGCTCCCATTGGTCGATGTTTTTCCGATCTTTTTTCTCTTTGTGGAGATCGCACTATAGGACCATGATTGCCATAGAAACCAGGTTCATCATGACTTTCAGTGGACCTGAACTCAAACCTTTGAGCGACTCTGCTGTCAGTCAAAGTCTCTAAAACTCATTTTTTTATCTTCAGATCTAAAGAAAAGGACTGAAGGTAGAAAACAGAGTAAAGGTCATAAATATGATCATGAATACATGTTCCCTGTCGGCTCCTCTAACTGACGCTCTCATTCTGAGGTTCGGTGGAGGAAGGACTCACTTACAGGACCTTAGAGTGACCGTTTCTTATTTCACTGAACTCAAATGTATTTCATATTTAATCAGACAGGTCTCACTGAGGCTGAAAAATCCTGACGAAGAGTAAAAACTAGAGCACAGAGTCAGCTCAGACTCTTCAACAGCATCTAGAGAGAAAACACTGAGAAGATCTATGCAGAAATAAAAACATCAACACGGTCTACCAGGAGAAACACCACGACGACGACGACGACGACCATCTAATACTAACAATACTGTGGATTATAATAGTAAGAATACTGTAAATCAGTACTGTGAGTACTCTCTGTTGTAAACTCAGGACTCAGGAGGAGGAGGAGGAGGAGGATGGAGTGATTTTCAGCCTGAAAAAAGTTGAAGGAGGAAAAGTCCACAGGGCTTTTGACTTCAGGATCTCTGTGTTCAGAGGAGGAGGAGAAGGAGGAGGAGGAGAAGGAGGAGAAGGAGGAGGAGGAGGACACTGTTGAGATCTTTGGTCCTCTCACACAAAAGGACATAAAGTGTTTGAACAAACTGAGAACAAAGAGACACTGAGATTTACAAAGAACTGAGGAGAGAGAGAGAGGGTCCTACAAAGACCTACAGAGACCTACAGAGACCTACAGAAACCAGGTCCACTCAACTGCAGAGACCTACAGAGACCTAAAGAGGGTCCTACAGAGGACTGCAGAGACCGGGTCCACTCTGCTGGAGAGACCTACAGAGACCTACATAGGCCAGGTCCAGGTCTAAAGCCCCAGAGGGTTGAGGTCCTTGTGCAGATTTGAACCTGCAGCCTGGTTTATGGAGGTCTTAATTAGAGTATTGATCATTTTTGATCAGACTGTTAAAATCTGGTTTCATCGGTCTGTACTCTGTTTGTGGTCTGTATCTGAGTCTATGTTTCTATGATGTCTCTCACACACACACACACACACACACACACACACGTCCAGGTGTGTCTCTGCAGGTTAATGACTTGTTGATAAAATAGGAGCTTATCTCGACTCTAATTGGTCCTTTTAAATATCAGTCTGTTTGATTGACAGAAACCACTGCAGGGGGGAGGGGGCGGGGCCAAGTCACAGGTAAACACACACAGGTAAATGATTGACATTTGTTGAGATTAGAACAGAACATTAGTCCGATAACAAATCATTAACTCTGAGGATAGAGACGAGTCAGTGACCTTCAAAATAAAAGTCTCCAGACTGTTTCAGAGTGATCAGCTGATGCTGCTCCTCATAAACACAGAGAGAGAGAGATAACTCTACAAAAATAAAAGTACTGTTCGATCACGACCATCATGATTCTTACTCTGATCTGACTAACCCAGTGTCCTTTTCCTGTCGCTCATCCTTTTAACCTGAAATAAAGTTCCTTCTTCAGTCTCACATGACGACAGTGTCACGGTTCCTCTGTGCGCCCGCCCTCCTCTCTTCTCTCCCTCCGTCAGAGCTCACACTGAGCTGCTGTGGTGGAGCAGATTGCTGCGAGCCACAGGTCAAAGGTCAGTGTCTAAAGGTGGCGCGGTGACTACGAGGTGGGCTCTGAGGCTGACCTGGGATCAGAGCTGAGGGGTAAGTGTGTCCGCTGTCGCCTCGGGGAAACAAAAGTCAAATCTGAGCCTCAGATCCAGATCAGAATAATCCTCCGCTGAAGCTGCAGAGGAGAGAGGGTCCTGACGGCGTTCAGAAACATGACTCTGAGCGTTTCGAGTACGACGGAGTATTAGAGATTAAAATCTTAATTTTCAAGAATAAAGTGGTAAAGTAAATTTGGTCTTAAATCTGCTTTAGTGGAGGAGGAAATGTCTGAACCGGTCAGCTGCAGAGTTCTCTGCGGGTTCATCAGCGGGTCGTTCAGAGAGATTTTGTGGTTTTTCAAGAAATAATCCGACTGATGATCAATGATGATCAATATTTATGATTCAGAGAGTCGAGAAACACGTCTGTCTCTGATGTCGACACCGACAGTAACCTCCACCTGCAGAGGCACCAACACCTTAAAGCATATAGATTCATACGATAAACTAAAGACATATAAACTAAAGACATATAAACTAAAGACTTATAAACTAAAGTTATAAACTAAAGACTTATAAACTAAAGTTATAAACTAAAGACATATAAACTAAAGACATATAAACTAAAGACATATAAACTAAAGTTATAAACTAAAGACATATAAACTAAAGACATATAAACTAAAGACTTATAAACTAAAGTTATAAACTGAAGACTTATAAACTAAAGTTATAAACTAAAGACATATAAACTAAAGACATATAAACTAAAGACTTATAAACTAAAGTTATAAACTAAAGACATATAAACTAAAGTTATAAACTAAAGTTATAAACTAAAGACATATAAACTAAAGACATATAAACTAAAGACATATAAACTAAAGTTATAAACTAAAGACTTATAAACTAAAGTTATAAACGTCTGATGGAGGGATTGAACCTCTGCACAGACATTTACAGACGTTTCCTCCTCCTCAAAAACAGAGATTCTCTA